AGCGACTGCTTGATGTTTAAACCTAAAACTTCTAGCATATTTATGTACACAAAGGGTAGACCATCAAATATATAAATTATTTGATTAAATGCTTCTTCATGTATATATACAACTCATTTCTGACAATGCTTCCTGACAACTCATTTCAAGTAAAACTTTGAGGAATTTTTTCTTTTTTTTTGCTTAAAAAATAAATAAGTGCTTACATCGAAATGAAATAGGGATTTATTTTTTCATCCAGTACATGTTCATGGGCAACAACATACAGAGGAATGGAAAACATGAAATTACTGCCACATGCCGCAATGAATTGTTGATTTAATAAAACAATTTTGGGGTTCATTTGCGGTACAACTTGTCCAAATTTGTTGCATAAAATCAGAAGAAGACAGTGTTGATAAAGTTATTACAAGCAAAGGATTCACAGCTGGTCTTTATAATAAATGAGATACTTATGTTAATGTAACTTTGCTGAGCTGTTGATTAGGACATCTGCAGATTGGTCAAAAAAAGGATGTGAAGTAAGAATTATCAAATTGAGTATAAAAAACTTACAAACAAAATTTAAAATGAACTGATAAGTAAAGGGTAAGTAAGTATTTTGACATTTTCGACAATTACCCAATTAAAAGAAACAAAAATAAAATGTTTTTATTAACTACTTCCAAAACTTAATCATATATAATATAATTACTGAAAGCAAAAATAATAAAATGACACAAAAATAAACTCATAACGGTTTTAGCAATAACAAAAAGGACGCTATAATTTAGATCCTTTCCGGGGTTTAATCCATGAAAGAATTTTCTTATAAATTTTATTATTTGAATACATCAATTAATTTTAATTCTTTGTTTGTATATTAAATTTATATATTATATTTTATTTTTAAATAATTACAAAAATTTAATATGCTCTACCTTCTTTTATTGATTTTTAATAGTTATTTTATATTGTATTTTGTGCTGTTATATTATTTGTTATAGTAATCCAGTCCGATTATATGCTGCACGATATTGGGCAACAACCAATACAGCTCAGAAGGCGTTGCGAGTATTTACTAGAAACATTTTTTCGAAGATCTGTGGTTCTATAAGTGTTGGTAATAAGTATAAAACGATAAGAAAGTTTGCGCTCTATGAGTTAAATCTGAACACTGATGTAGTAAAGCGTATTAAAATTTGACTTAGTATTGAAAATTCTATTTCATTTGATTTAGTGCCCGCTGTTGAATAACATAATAAAGGAAATCTAAGTTTTCGGGACAAGAATACAGTGACAAATGACTTGAATTAATTCGATACTAATAACTAGCGACAGTAAGCGCTGATGCAGCTGGTTAATGAAGGTTACTGGACTTAGCATCCCTGTGTAAAAAATAAGTTAATATGTAAGTAAATAATATTTTTTAAGTAACTTCCATCTTATATATATATATATATATATATACCGTGATTTTCAGGTGGACTTATTTATACCTAACCTTAAATTAACATTAAATATTATTTAAAGAGTCATTGAATTATAAAAGTCATGCAAAGGAACATTTTTCTATAAAAATCAAATCGATTAGTCCTTTATGTAGGTTTAATAGTAAAAAACTATATACAGTTTTTGAAGTTATTTTTATTTTAATTGATTTAATTGGTATCTAAATACTCTAAAAATAGTTAAATTTGGTTATCGATATAACGTACTTATTCATACTTAAAAGCGGAAACCATTTTGTAACCATGTCAGAAGGATAAAATAATGTCGCATATGAATGAAGTAATTACTCTCTAAACATGAAAGTTTTTGCTGTTACTTGATGTTACTTAAAAACTTTTTCTTTATTCTAAGTACTGTACAAATATTCTTCAAACAAGCATGAAATATAAACTATTTATGTTTACATATAATGGAGAAAGTTTAAACATGTTTTGTACTATGCCTGAAGGTGGAACACGTAAATGAAATAATTTAGCTTTTAAGAAGCAATTTTACGTGAAGAGCTTTTGAATGATGCTGTGTTGCATGAAACATCTATGACAGAAGATGGAAGAATGCAAGATTTTCTTAACAATAAATTCAATTTTAAATCCGTTTTAATAGTTTAAATTATATGTGTACAATAACAACATTATAACAGAAGAAAATTATAAATTAATTGATCTAACTAAAAATTTTTAGTAAAATTGAAAATGGAGTTTTAAAAATTATTTTTTCAAGTTATAAATAGAGTAATAATTGTCAACAATTAAGAAGTCTTTAAGAACTAAATGTAAATGTAACAGGAATTATCTCATTAGACACCTAAGAAAATAAATGCACACAATAATATCATGGTATTACATAAAATAGATGTACTTTTAAATGAAAAACTGAGATATATGTAAATATCGATCTAGTATATTACTCATATAACTAGTTTTGTTAAATATAATTTTGATTTTTGCTATGTTTCACAAATTTATTAATTATATTTAACAAAACACAAGTTATGAATTTCAAGTATATGTATAAAATGCTACCATTATAGACTGACAAAACTTAGACTCTTTAGTCCTCTACGATTACCAGCTTCGAATGAAACTCAAACTGTACGAACTTTTATATCAATGTATCATTACAAAGCAAATATTGAGCAACATTCAAATTATTATTATTTATATAACTTTAACGTTGCCACCTAAAGAATACTATATAACATAAATTGAACCATCTCAGTAAGTAATTTAACCCTGCACCGTTAGCCTGCTGGTGAGCTTCCGAATTATAGTCTCCCAAAAACAAAGCTAATTCGTGGGCTTTAACTGAATTCTCTTCTTAATTAAGCATTTGTATTAGGTTGTGTTTTATAAGTATTTCACTTGAGGATAATCCCGATGAAAAACAAGTAATTCTAAACTCATAAATTACTATCCAAATATATCCTGCTACTGTTTGGCATAATTATTTTAAATACGCTTGAAAAACTAATCATGCTAAAATATTAAATAAAGTGGTCAAAAATTCTTGTAAATAGAATATTTTTCATTCCATGAAAAAGTTTAACAAATTAAAAAATTAAAATTTCTGTCACGCGCTATTTTTTCACATGCCTAACTTTACTTTGGCACTTTGTTACTTGACAGTCCATGAAATGTATTCCAATGAGGGCTTTTTCCGGAAGTATACAAATGTATTTTTAAAATATTCTCACATACATTTCTTTACCATTTGTATTGTCTTTACAAAAAAAACGAAATTGATGTAATATTTCATACACTATATGCTTTAAAAAATAATTTGCAGAAAAAGTTTTTAAATCTTTTGGATTATTTTGGCAAAATAATAAATTAATACAACAAAAACATTAATTAAAAAACCTGGAACTTGAATATTGAAAGTTTGTGCAGCCTTGGCTACTTGTTGAAAAACACCGCTTCTAATTTGACAGGCACGAGTTCTAAGCCCAACACTTGCAGTCCAAACAAATTATATACGAACTACAAAGTAATTAAGAAATTCGAATATTTCCTTAAATCACTGATGATGAGTACTTGGCAATACTCAAAACAGCGTTATATGGTCTGCCAAATTTCAATAAATTAAATAAATTTTTGTCCTTGTCTTCTCTTTGCTATTCTAATCCGTCTTACTTTTAAATAGCTTCTTTTCGTCATAAATACGCGTTACTTAAAAAAAACTTAACATTAAAAAATATTAATTTTTGCTTGAATTAAATTTAAAACTAAAATTATTAATCCAAATAAATGCTCATACAGGATTTATTATCTTAAAGATCTTTTTCTAGCAAATTAAGTTTAGTGCTCAAAACTTTTACTGTTAAATTACAAATTTTAAAATAAATAAATAAACAATATACATTTATTCTCAGTTCAACTTCATATCGATTTCAAAGTAATGATGTTTTAAACTTTCTGTCTTCTACGGGTATATTAACTGTTGAATAAGATTGATGACCATATTGACAAAGTCACTTAATATTGAGCTCTTCCCTACAATATTGTTCTATTTATTATGTTAAGTGACTTTTAATTCATTTCGTACTCTAACAACATTTAATTTACTCATAAAAATAATAAATGACAGGATAAGCACGCATCCGGCTTAAATTATAATTAATTGCTTTGGTATACAGTAAAAACCGCTGAAAATTTATCATGAATTTATTCACAAGCTTAATTACTTGAGACTTATTATGTGTACCATAATTTCAAATTTAATATACTTTTTCACTTCACAATATTTAATTTCTGTATTAATAAATTGAAGTACAGAAAAAAAATAAAAATTGTGAATTCACGAAGACTTAAAATAAAATTGTGAATATTTTTTATATTAATTTC